GGTCAGAAAGAAGGCGCTGCTCCCCTCTGCTCCACAGCCTGCTTCCAAATGCCGCCCCCACCAAGCGCTGAGACGCATCTAAGCCACAGCTAAGAGCGTCCAGCCCAGCGGTGGCCCCTCAGGGCATCCGCGTGCATTTCTGAACCCAGCTTCCCAAGGCTGGATTTTTCTTGTGATTTGGATTTCTGGCTTTTTAAGAAGAGCTCAGCCACTCTTCCTCAGGCACTGGATTAGAATGGCAGGGAACGCGGGCTTTCAGGGCAGACAGGGGCCTGGGAGCCGCAAGCACCCCACGTGGCCACAACTGGCCTCTTTCTTCTTTTCTTTTTTCTTTTTTGGTCCTGGGGATTGAACCCAGGGGTGCTTAACCACGGAGCCACATCCCCAGCCCTTTTTTATTTTGAGACAGGGTCTCTATAAGTTGCTCAGGGCCTTGCTAATGGCTGAGGCTGGCCTCAAACTTGTGATCCTCCTGCTTCAGCCTCCAGAGCCGTCGGAGGTCAGGCGTGCGCCTCTGCACCCATGACTGGCCTCCTCCCCTGCTGTCCCCTTTCTCCACAGTGCTCGGCACTGAATGAAGAGCTGAAAAAGGAAAGTTCCCAGAAGGAGCACAGACAAGCCCAAGAGAGAGAGTTAAAACACTGCAAAAGCGTGAGTCGAGCTTCCTCATCCGGGGGTGCACCCAGAAGGGCTGGACTTGGACCTTTGGGTTCTGGGGGGCCCTGGGTCCATCACAGCCCAGGGCCCAGGGCTGTGTGTCAGCTGCTCCAGCCCAGCAAAGAGGTGGGCAAGGAAACCACGGAAAACACTGTCCCAGGACTCTCTGAGCAGTTGGCTTTACCTCCCCGTGGTTTGCCCCGGGGAGGGCGGGGGCAGGCGCGGGCACAGGAGGCCAGCCAGGTGGCCCCACACGGCGGCTGGAAGTTCATTCCAGTTCCCAGCCCTGGACCTGCGATCCCCACTCTGACACCCACTGACTTCACTTTGATCACGGCCACGGGCAGTGTTGGGGCCACAAACTCCTTCCTTAGGTGTTTTTATTTAAATACATCAATTTTATACCAATTCATAAAAACAAAACAAAAAGTTACACTTTGCCTTATATAGAAGGCACCTGTAAAAAAGAACATTATTAAAACGTCTGTTCCCTGCACCTGCCACACCCCCTGGCGCCTCCCCAGCCCATTTGCTGGCGGCGAGCACAGCACCTGAACACAGGACCCTTGCTCCTCTCCATGCCAGGGACACGGCTCTGCCTCGAACAGAGAAAGAAAGAAGGAAGAAGTTTTTCACTGTTCTGTTCCTCCAGTTGGCCTTTATTTGGACCAGCCTCAAAAACAGACCCCATTTGTATTCCAGGCACTTGTCAGGATGAGCCCCGCCACTGTGTAGAACCACAATGGACCCACGGAGACATTTAGAACCCCCCAACCCCCCCAGGCGGGATTCTGATGAGTCGGCAGGTGTCTCTATTGTCCCCCTCCACATCTCTGCCAGTTGCCAAGAGAAACAAACTATTTTCCTTCACGCATCTTCTCTTTGTTTTTTAACATTTATTTTTAGTTGTAGTTGGACACGATTCCTTTATTTTATTTTTTAATTTTTATGTGATGCTGAGGGTCAAACCCGGGGCCTCGGAGGCGCTAGGCGAGCGCCCTGCCGCGGAGCCACAGCCCCAGCCCCCATCATGCGTCTCTTTTAATATATTCACTGAAAATAAAGCCCACTTTGCCTGCAGACCTGGTCCTTTGACCCAGAGAAGGGATGAAGCAAGCTAACCCAGCAGGCCTGGCCCCTCGGTGGGCCCAGGGAAAGGGTCCCCGGGCTCGGACCTTCAGGCAGAGGCCGAGCTGACCCCTCTGTGGTTGGAACTCTTTCAGCAAATCCAAGACATGGAGAAAGAAATGAAGATGCTGAGAGAGGAGCTGAGGAAGAACTGTTCTGAGCAGAGCATGATCTATAAGACTCTGCGGGAAAAGAGCAAGGTAGGTGGCCGAGGACGGTGGGCGCACTCAGGCCAGGTGCTCCTCACAGCGACCCCGTGTGGTGGACGCTGGTATTGGCCCCTCTTTCCAGATGAGGCACACACAGGTAGAGAAGCTCCCGGTTCACCCAGGAGCTAGACATGGCAGGACTCGAACCCAGCTCTGACTCCCACACTCCCTGTGTGACCACTGCTCCAGCCTGTCCTCCAGAACTACCCCCACCTCTAGGTCCTCCTGGATTTCACCTTGCTCCTCACAGAGAAAACCTTCCTGGCACACCCTAGACTCGTGCCCTCTGCCCCAGAGCACCCCAGACCCACAGGGCCATTTGAATTTTAAGTCAACTAAAAGTAAACCAAACGATTCAGCTTCCCAGCTTCACCACCCACATCGACAGCTCCCCTGGCTGGTGCCACTGTCCTAGACTGCACGGGTGGAGGACATTTCCACCATGACAGGCAGCTCTCCACTGTTTTAGACCTGGCGATCACAAGGGGGAGCGACCACCTTGGACAGGGTTAAAACAGGCTTATGGATCACACATGTTTATAAAAACAAATCTAAACTGGAAATAACTCTCCCCCTGAATCATCTACTTGATTTGATGAGAGGACAGTTGTCACTGAGAAAACCAAGAATATTTGAAGAACAAAATCAAATGACAGGAAAATTCTGAGAGGATTTTGCTCAAGGATGATCTGAGAAATGAAAAGAAATACCCCAGTGTTTTCTCCAGTTTTTACTTAATATTATTAACTGTTAGTCATTGAGAGAGTGGCATATTTTTAAATCACATCATTATCGTGGATTTGTCTATTTCTTTTTTTAATGCTGTCAATTTTTGCTTTCTATGTTTTGAGTCTGTATTACTAGGTGCATAAAACATTAAAATTTCACAAGCTAGAATACATACTAGACAGGAAGTGGTCTGAAAATCTCATCTCAATGATACTGAAACTTGCAAAGTTGAGTACATGTAAATAGAAACAACACAGAATAAAACCAACAGTGAAAAACACAGAGTAAAGTTTGATATTCACTAAATATTGAGAAAAGAACAAAATATTATCAAAAAAGTTTAGATGTGCAGAGTATAATCTTGGGAAAATATAGACTTGGTAGAAATGAGGGCCATAGAATAAAATATACAAGGGCAAAGCTATGCTTGGTAAGAATTTGATAGGAATCAGAAAAACTTTTTGATGAATAAAATCATATTTGTAGAACTTAGCCAGAAAAGAAGAAATCCAGACAAAAATAATTTCAAAAAGAATTTTAGAAATTAGAAACATATGAAAAGCTATTAAACCACTGGCTTTTCTCTGAAGTATGAATTTTCCTCAAAACAAGGCTTTGACCGCATTCCACAAGTTTTAGTATATAACATTTTTTATTATTATTCAAATCAAAGTCTTTTCCAATTCCCATTGTGATATCTTGACTTGTGTTATCTTGAGGTTGTTTCCTAATTTCTAAGCATATGAAGATTTTTTTATGATTACCTTTTTGCTCTTGATTTCTAGCTTAATTATGATGGTCAGAGAATATCCTCTGTGAGTTCAAACTTTCCATATTAAGACTTGCTTTATAACCTTCATGTGGTCAATATTGGTTGCACATATGTCCTTGAAAAAACGTGCATTCTGCATTCATTGGGTACAGTATTCTATATTCTATATGTTTATTAAATCAAGGTTACCAAAACTGAAATTCTCTTATTGATTTTGTTGTCTATAGGTTTGTTAGTCATTGAGAGAGTGGCATAATTTTAAATCACATCATTATTGTGGATTTGTCTATTTCTTTTTTTAATGCTGTCAATTTTTGCTTTATATATTTTGAGTCTGTATTACTAGGTGCATATGGATTTGTCATTTTAATACTTTCTGTTTGATGAACCTTTTGATCATCATGAGATGACTCTCTTTATCTCTCTCTAGTCGTGTTTTTCCATTAAAGTTCACTATGTCATTAATATAGCTCCATCAGCTACACTGGATTTCTTTTTGTTAGAGTTTCATAAATATTTCTTTTCACTTTTTCAATCGATCATTCTTAAAAATTTAGATACATCTCTTGTTAAAAGCATATAGTTTTTTTTTACAAAACCCCAGTTTGGCAATCTTCGTCTGCGAGTGCATTTATGTATAATGTAATTGCGTGGTATATTGCATTTAAATTTATTGTCTTGCTCAGTGCCAGTTGTACCACTTACACTATGATGTTTTTCTCTCCACTCTTGGTCCTGTGAGCTGATAGGGTTTTATTATTTCATTTTTTCCCCTACATGAACTTGGAAATTTTTCATCCCTCCCCTCTTCTTTTAGTAACAGTAAGATACCCCAGCAAAATCTGGATACTTACTGAGTGTTTTCCTCCTTTACTGTTATTTAGAGGTTATTCTAAGAATCGCAGCATTCACTTTCAACTTGCCAAACCCAGTATTCCCTGACGCATCTGCCTCCTTGATGACATAGTGGCCTTAGACAGCAACACCATGCAGATCCACATCCACTGTCAACATTTTCTATACTTCCCTCTACATTTGACACCCCAAAAGACATGGCCAGTGTTTTTGTAGAGTCCATGTTCACATCTGTTCATTAGCTGTGCCTTCTCTACATGTCAGATGGCTCATGTGGGACAGTTTTTCTTTTGCTTAAAGAGTGTCCTGTAGTGTTTCCCTTCAGTACTGCTCTGCTGGTGACAAATTCTCTTAGGCATCTGCAAGTGCATGTGTGTGTGTTTGTGTTTGTGTGTGTGTTTATGTGTGTGTGTGTGTGTGTGTGTGTGTGTGTGTGTGAGAGAGAGAGAGAGAGAGAGAGAGAGAGAGAGAGACAGAAAGAGAAAACATCTGTTTTACCCTCCAACCTTGGAAGATATTTTGACTGAGATTTGAGTCTATGTTGGCAGTTGCTCTCTTCAGGTGCGTCATTCTCCTGGCTCCTGTCTCCTGGCTCCCATTGTCCCTATACAGAAGTGAGCTTTTATAAACCTAAAACTCATGCCTTCATGTAATCTTGGGATGCTTTTAAGATTTCTTTTCCTTCGACTTACAGCAGTTTTGTGTAGTTTTTCTAGGTGTGGATTCATGTTTTATTTGCCTTATTTGGAATTCTCTGGGTTTCTTGAGTCTTTGGCTTCCAGAATCTCATTCTGGAGCTGGGCATTTGGAGTGAAAAGCTTCTGAAGGCCTTTGAACGAGGATTGACGTGATCACACTTGTGATTAATTATAATGGTGGAAATGACAGCACCGATGTCCCATGTCCTCGGCCCCATGCCAAACACTTCTCTCTCCTCATCTTCACACCAGCTCTGGGACCTAGGAAGTATCTGTCTGTCGTATGAACGAGGGAGCAAGGGATGAGATGACCCACAGGGAAGTGGCCCAAAGCCACGCAGGCAGGAAGGGGCAGAGCAGGACCAGAAGCCAGGTCCGTCTGACTCCCGTTTCTGTGGTAAACTATGGAGACTGAAATTAAATGAAGTTTATAAGTCAATTCCTCCATAGTCCTATTTGTAAACAAAATTGCATTTATTTTAAAATAAAATTCTAAATGCAATAACTCCTCTGATCAAGAAGGGTATTTAAACCCCAGTATGCCCAGAACACATGTCACATGCTCAGTGGCCAGACAGTCAGATGGCACAGGCCCAGCCACCTGCACCTAGAAGACAGTCCTCCCAGACAGCCTGCTCCCAGCCTGGTGGGCCCCACAGCGCAGTGAAGAACATGCTGGGGGGATGGGGATGTGGCTCAAG